CTGGCCAGAATCCCATCCCTGGTGCCGCCTTGATCTTCTTCAAGGCGGAAATGGATTCTTCTCATTTCCCGTCATCCCTCCTACACTCTGTCTGTCTTCAGCATGCTGGGAAATTAGCTCAGAGCAGGGTGGAGAAGGACACGTTGGCCAACGCAACATTGCCAGCTTGGCTTGATTTGTATAAATTGTGAAATCCCATCTTGAAATCCCAGCTGTGTCTCCAGCTAACATCACACTGAAACGTAAGTGTGACCTGTTTGCTTTGGGCTTATCCTTTCCTGAGAACCGAACTAATTGTGGCGTCAACCTATTTTCCAAAGCACCAGAAGGCAGGAGAAGCAGCAACGGATAGAAACTGCTCAAGAAGAGAAGCAACCTAGAACTAAGGAGGAATTTCCTGACAGTGAGAACAATTAACCAGTGGAACAACTTGCCTCTAGAAGTCGTGGGTGCTCCATCACTGGAAATTTTTAAGAGGAGACTGGACAACCATCTGCCTGACATTTTATAGGTTTTCCTACCCAAGCAGGGGATTGGACTAGAAGACCTCCAAGGTCCCTTCCAACTCTGTTATTCTGTTAATCTGTAATTCTGTCAATGAAAGTTAAACCATGGTTTCCTCCAAATCTTGGCCCAGTGTTCTATGTGGCCAGATCTAAAAGTTGAAATCCTTTGAATCGGCTCTAGCTGACATGATTTATGTCAGCATTTCCTTATCTGGTGCCTTCTGGATTTGGGAATTCTTAGCAATCAGAAGCCATGTTGATTGCGAGATTGTGGGAGTTTGGGCGATGCAGAGTGCGGATGCCAGATTGGGACAACTTGGCTTAACTTTGAGGAAGGGGCCCTTTGTTAAATTATTGATTCTCAATTCTTGATGTCTTCTCACACAGCTGTGAGGAAAGAGATGGGAATTTTGTAGGACAAACACACACCCCTCTGGCCAATATTGGATGGATTTGGGCCAGGGGTGAAATCCAGCAGGTTCTGACAGGTTCTGGAGAAGTGGTAGCAGAAATTTTGAGTAGTTTGGAGAACCAGAAAATACCACCTCTGGCTGGCCCCAGAGTGGGGTGGGAATGGAGATTTTGCAATATCCTTCCCCTGGAGTGGGGTGGGAATGGAGATTTTGCAGTATCCTTCCCTTGCCACGCCCACCAAGCCACGCTTACAGAACTGGTAGTAAAGAAAAATTCACCACTGATTTGATCCAGACCTCATCTGTTTCCCCCAGTAACCATCGAGAAACAGGCTTGGGAGGGACCTTGGAGGTCTCCTAATCCAATCCCTGGCTCAAGCAGGAAGCCCTATGCCAGGGTGTCTAAACTTGGCAACTTTAAGACCTGTGGACTTCAACTCCCAGAATTCCCCAGTAGCTGCCTGGGGAATTCTAGGAGTTGGAAGTCCACAAGTCTTAAAGTTGCCAAGGTTGGAGACCCCTTCCCTCCCTATGCCATTCTGGACAAATAGCTTACCAACCTCTTCTCAAGGACCTCCAGTGATGGAGCACCCACAACTTCTGGAGGGAAGCCCTTCCGCTGGTTAATTGTGCTCACTGTCAGAAATTTCTCCTTAATTCTAGGTTGGCTCCCTGTAGCTTCCTTCTGCTTGGGGGACAGAAGCCACTGGTCAGCCTGGGGACAAATGACTGTCTAGTCTTGTCTTGAAAACCTCCAGCGATGGAGCACATAAAGGAGAACCAAAGCTAGAGAAACATCCATAATGTTGAAAGGCACCTTCAGGCCTCATCCGGATGGGTTTTGCCCGCTTGGTACTGCAGGACTTGAAAAGCGAAAAAGGAACACCTTGGAACTCAGCTGTATCCAGGGTGTGCCTGGTTTGTTTACTTGGCAAGCCACAAGGCGCTCTTGCCCAGGAGGTGCCACCTTGGAGGCCCACCCAGCAGCAAGCAGCAGCCGCCAGAAAAGCCGCCCCTCAGGTTCTCCCAGTCCAGCCACCCTAATACGGGAGTTCCTTTCCAGGCGCCCGTGTCGTCAGCTGACTCGACACCGGGTGCAGGAATGTATTCGCGCCACACCCTGCTCTGCCTCGAGAGCTGCTGACGCAGGAGGCATCGGGTGCCAAACCCAACTGCTTATTACTGCAGCTCGCAGCTGTTTCATTTTAACTGGGGCTGTTGTGACGTGTCTCTTTTCTCTGCAAGCTGAAGTCTTGGCAGCCAAACCAATGTAGAAAGATCTGGTCCCGTTTGCAATTCCTGCTTCCCCTCAATATTTCTCCATTCCCTTTTAGGGTGCGTCCCAGGCTGGATTCCCTTCCTCCGTTTTTTTTTTTTTCCTTCAGGCGTCTGATGTGCCCAGGATTTAAATCCCACCTGAATATGACACATGCTTTACTTGACTGAAATTTCCTTCCAAAGTATTCATGCGCTTTAGTAAGGCCACACCTGGAATCCTGCACCCAGTTTTGGTTACCAAAAAAGATGTTGAGACTTTGGAGAAAATGCACAAAGCAGCAAATAGGATGATTAAAGGTCTGGAGATCAAAACACAGGAAGAACGGTTGCAGGATTTGGGTTTGCCCAGTCTGGAGAGGGAGTAGGGGTGACATAATAACAGTATTCCAGTATCTCAGGGGCTGCCCCAAAGAAGAGGGGGCCAACTTATTTTCCAAAGCATGAGAAAGGAAGACAAGAAACAACGGATGGAAACTAATGAAGGAGAGAAGCAACCTGGAACTAAGGAGAAACTTCCTAAGAGTGAGGACAATTAACCAGAACTGGTGGCTGCTTCATCACTCAAGTTTTTTAAGAAGAGACTGGACAGCTACTTGTCTGAAATGGTAGAGGGTCTCCCGCTTGAGCGGGGGGTTGGACTAGAAGACCTCCAAGGTCCCTTCCCGCTCTTATTCTGTTTGATTGAAGTAGGAAATTATTTCTTAAGACCCCCTTCTGAACAAGCACAGACACACGAGCAGATAAGACTTTCTAATCCTCAGATTTATTATTAACTGAGTATTGGTTGCACCATTTATCTTTTGGAGATTCGGAGAAGGAGTAGCAAAGTCTCTTTTTCCAGCAGAGAAAAAAATGCTAGCATTTGGAACCATTTTAAAATTGTAGGACAATTTCGTAGTTCACACACAAAAATATAGATATTATATATATACATACATATATATATATTATTCTGGAATATTACAAAAAAAGATAAATACAATATAAAATTATTTTCGAATAAATAGACTATAAATAGTTTGGTTTTGGTTATTGCCTTATTACATGGTAAACATTTGAGGATTTAAAAAAACAACAACACCCACCACAAAAATGACACGCAGGTGTGACCAGCATGGACATTGGCTTAGAAACAAAAGGCATCCTTCCTCCCCCTCCTTCCCTCCACCCCAACTGGTCTCCGTCAGTGCAAAATGTCTAATTTAACAGACGTTGAAGCAACAGGACACCATTTTCTGCGCTGTGGGTACTGGGCTTTGTGGTCACTAAAAAAAAACAAAAAACTTCCTGCCAGTTTCATTCCTGATGCTGGCAGAGAACATTTGGACTCTGTTTGGCCAGTCCCAAATCCTCCCCTACCTGGGGACGAAGGAGCAGAATTCCCAGAGATTTAATTTCATGGAATTGAAGAGTGGGCTAAATATTTCCTTGGGTGACCGAGGAAGAAAGTACAAATTCTGGAATTTGTCAATTTGGAATATGGGAGAATGATCGGACATCCAGTTTGGTTCAGATCTGAGATTCCTATGGAACAGGGATGAGCAATCGAGGCCCGATTTTTGTTTTTGACCAATCCAAAGTTAAGCTTAATATGAATTTCATCCCATTGGAGCAAGGAGGTGGGTTGGAGACGCACGTCGATCGGGTTCAAAATTTCCAAAATGTCCAATTTCACACCTATGCAGCTGGCAGGGGAATTTGGGAGGAAACCACCTCTCTTGCCCCAAGAGAATGCAGAATTATGGGGGTTCAGAGCACCCCAAGGGGAAAACACTGCCATTATTTCAAAAACTCCAGTGAGCACAACATGGGGTGGGTTTTTTTAAAAAAAGAAAGATAAAACTCAGCACCTCTCCTTAATTCTCAACCTATTCTTGCTGGAGGACTAGATAAGGAGAGAATATTCACAGTATATAAAGCATGATTATTTTTTTTCTCTAAAAAAAAAAAAGATACATTAAGAGCTACCAGGATGTCATCTAAGTCTTATTTCCCAGGCTTGATCTGGCTTCTGTGGTGTGAGATTTTCCCCCCCTCCTTATTACGGGAGGAAAATTTGTAAAAAGAAGAAATAAAGCTGCTACATAGAAGTACACTTCCTCTTCTCCCTGGGACAGGTAATCTTTGGCATAATGCTCAGGGTGTTTCTCCATCTCCCTCACTTGAAGATGGGTGGAGTTCTGGGAGTTGAAGTCCAACCACCTTCAAGGGAGGAAGCTTGCAAACACCTGCTTAGAATTAAGAGGAAGGAAAACCACGGTTTGCACTTCTCTAGACTTTTCTAGGTGGGGATTCCTAAAAGGGAATCAATCTCCTTACCCTTGAACTTCTTAAGGGGAGGGGAGGGGGAAACGGAACTGGGGGGCTGAGGCTGATCCACCCCACTGCCCCTCTCAGCTCAGCCCAGCCAGGGGTTTTGTGCAAAACCAGAGAGAAAATTAAATTGCCCCCCCCCCATCTTGGTTTCCTGGCTCCCTGAAAGGTGATTTTTGAGATAGTTAGAAGACCCAGCTATCTGACTCCCCAACACACACACAGCCATAAGGCACTCCTGGGGAGGGGGAGGGAGAGGGTGGGTAAGGATTTGGCCCAGCCCTCTGCAGAGCTGCTCTCTCTGGTGTCCCCTTGCAGGCTCTGCTTAAGGCACCAAGTGGTGAAAGGGAAACTTTAATGGGCTGGAACCCCGTTTGCTTTCTGGACCCCCATTTTCCCCCCAGGCCTCTTGAGGGCAGTAAGGCTGGCAGGTGGGAGGCAGGAAAAGCCCCCCCCCCAAAAAAAAGAACAGGCAAGAGCAGGAGAAGGCCCGAAAAGCAGCTGGCATCAGTTCAGGCTGGGAGGGGGCAGACTTTGGGGTCCCCCCATCTCCGAAGGAATCTCATCCAGAGGGCGGCCCCCTCCGTGGCAATCGACAGCAAGCTTGAAACGTCCTGTCCGGCCTTCATTCCGAGACGGAAAGCCGATTGAAGATGGGCAGGCGGTGAGAGGTCCCCGCCGGCCCGCCGACGGGGTGCTGGTCGAAAACCGGAGAGTCGGAGCCACTGAGGCTGCTGGAGCTGCTGTAGCAGTCGGGGTCCGAGAGCGAGTTGGAGGAGGGGGTCCTGGGCATGGCCGACGGGGGCGTCCCGGGGGCGGCCGAGAAGTAGTCCCGGGGGCTCTGGAGCGAGCCGCCCGCCTTCCCGCAGCGGCAGGAGCAGCAGCCCCCGGTGGGGGGGCCCGGCAGCGAGTCCCTGAAGGAGGCCACCAGGGCGAGCGGGTCCAGGTTGAGGTGCTCGAAGGCGGGTGACAGGAGGTCGGCGGAGGTGGGCGGCGGCGAGGCGGAGGGTGCGCGGGCGAAGGAGGCCGGGTCGGGCAGGCCGGGCAGTGGGGAGGTGCGGCGGGCGGTGGGCACCCCGGAGAAGCTGAGGCTCTGGCGCAGGAGGTGCGGGGAGGCGCCCCCGCCGTGGCTGCCGAAGGCCTGCGCCTCCTCGGGGAAGTGGATGAAGTGGCAGCGGGAGCCGTAGGGACACTCGCCGTGCAGGTAGAACTTGTGGCACAGCTCCGTCTTGTACTTGGGGTGGCGGCTCACGGAGCGCAGCTCGGCTGAGCCGTGGGCGAACTGGCACTTGGCGCCGTACTTGCAGCGGCCGCTCTCGCTGAAGGTGCGGCACAGCTCCGTCTTGTAGCGGGACGATGGGGTGGGCGCGCTGAGCTGCTTGAGCGGCGGGAAGCCGGGTGGTGGGGGCGGCAGCGGCTGGCCTTTGCCTTCGATCAGGCTGACCGAGCGGTCTGGGCGCAACGGGGGCCGCGGCTGTTCGCCCTGGGGGCTCCAGGGGCTGCGCGGGGGCCACAGCGCCGACTCCCCGCTGCCCGGCAGTGCCCCCTCAGAGGAGCAGGCTGGGCGGCTGCAGAAGGCGGAGGCAGGTGTGTCCAGCTCTTCGCTCAGCGAGAGGTTGAGCAGGTTCTGTGGGGGGAAAGAGAAGCGGGAAAGGTTAGGGACGCCCTTGGCCAGCCAACCCGTCCACGAGGGCAGCGCAGAAGCCCCGGAGCTGCTGGAGGAAAGCGCCCCCCCCGTCGCCAAGCCTCGAGACCCCGGACCTTCCGAAGCCTTGGGGGTCCCTCCCTCCCTGCCCCGCCCCACCCCGCCCCCCCTCTGGGTCGCCCGGGGGAGAGCGGGGTGTGGGCGTGTGACATCAGCAGCCTTAAATAGCCCAGGGGGGCTGGGCCAGAGTTATTTTTAGAGAGACTTGTGGCGGCTGCTGGCCACTCCAGTCCCGAGAGAAAGGGGCGGGGGGGGTCACGGGGGCATAAAAACTTCCACCTCCGACAGGCACGCCGACTGGAGACGACCCCAGAGGGCTGCAAAGCCTTCCACACCTCTTGCGGGAAGAAGGCCGAGGGGTCAGAGAGCCTTGGCAAAACTCACCCAAGACCCCAGGCGACCCCCAAGAAACATTCTGCCCCCCCTCCCCCACCTTTAGGCAACCTAACAAAAATCGCTTTCCACCACCGAAGGCCAAACGGCTCACACCCTGCTCAAATAAGAAAACAGACTCATTGTTCAAAAATCCTGTTTCACAACAAAAGCTCCTTGCTGGGTGCTTTCCCACCTTACACAACGTGCACGGGGTGGAAAAAGAAATACGCCCCCAGCCCCCCACCCACCGTGGCCATGAGAGCCAGTGCCGAAACCGAAAACATCTTGAACACTAACCAACTTCCTGGAGAAAAGCTGGTTTTTAAGGTTGTTGTTGTTATTATTATTATTTATTAAACTTCTCCCGAAGGACTCAGGGCGGTGTACGGCCATATTAAAACAAACATATACTCACAAAATTTAAAAACCATTTAAAATAAATCTATAAATTTGGCCCTTAAGTTAAAAGCTACGAACACCCAATTTAAAATTCAATTTTCAATTTTCTTTTTTTTTCTAAGGTTGCCTTGATTTATTTTTAAGCTGGTTTAGAAAAGCTGCCTGGTGGGTTTCGCCCCACGGTGCTATTTGTGGGGTGCAGTTCGAGGGAGAGCAACCCCCCCCCCCAAGCCAAAAATACCCGCATTTGACAGCTGGGACGAAAGTCTCCAAGGCGAAGGAGGCGAGACCCCAACAGCTCGCAAAGGCTACAATTGCAGGAAGCTCTGCCATTTCTCCCCCCTTTCCTGCCTCCTTCGCTGACCCCCACAGCGGACCCCTCCTCTTTTACAGCAGGAGAGCAGCAGTTGACAGGCGATTCATATAGAAGCTTGGTAGTACAAGAGCCTTGGTAATACAGGGGTTTAAGGCACCCTGTTATTAAGCTGGTTATTAAGACCAGCTGCCTGCAATTACTGCAGGTTCGAATCTCGCCAAGGCTCAAGGTCGACTCAGCCTTCCATCCTTTCTAAGGCAGGTAAATTGAGGACCCAGTTTGTGGGGGCAATAAGCTGACTTTGTATAAATATGCAAAAGGATGAAGGCTTGACGCATTGTAAGCCGCCCTGAGTCTCCGGAGAAGGGCGGCATATAAATCAAATTAAAAAAAAAAAAAAAGCTGCCGGCCTCTCTGGGTCCTGAAAGGGCTTCCAGCAAAAGAGGCCAGACTGGGGAGGGGTCTTGGCTGCCTGGTTTGGGCTCGGCGCTGGGGGGAGGCTGCGCCCGATGTGCCGGCGTCGGGGCGGGGAGAAGCGGCAGCGACGTAATTCCTTGACCTAGAAAAAGAGCCGGGCGGCGCTTCCTGTTTTTCTCTCCCTCGGCCGGGGAGGAGAGGAGGGGGAAGCGCCACGGGGCCCCCCGTCCAAGGCCGCCCATCTCCCTGCCCAGGAAGCAGGGCTCGGGCCCCGCCGCCCCATTCCCCACCTACCACCTGCCAGGACGGCCCCCGCCCCCTAAAGCGGAGGACCACAAAGCCCGCGAGTCCCAGCCGACACCCATCCCGCGCCCCGCATTCCAGCGGCTCCTTCGAAGGGGCGGGCAGGGAGGGCCCGGAGGGGGGCTTCAAAGGGGGCTGGAAAGGTCCGACGGAGCTCCCGGTGGAAAGGCCAAGCCGCGCCCCGCCCTGCCCCAAAGCCGCCCCTCGGAGCCCGTCGGGTTGCCGCTCACCTGGTAGAGGTTCCGCACGTCCAGCATGGAGCTCATGGTGCCGCCTGGTCGCGCTCCGCTCAGCCAAAGCAGCCCCGGCAACTGAAGCGCGGCGGCCGCCACGGCCCAGATATAACTCAGGCCACGCCCCTTCCCGGCCGCGCCCCCCCCTCTGCTCCTCCCCCCTGGGGAGGGGCGCTGCCCTCCCCTCCCCTCCCCGCGCTGCCCCGCCCGGCCGCTCGCAGGGCCGCCCTCCGCTGCCCCCCTCGCTTTCGGGGCTTTCCCGACCAGCAGCTGGGAGGGGGGAGGGGGCAGGGCGGTCGGGGCTCCATGACTCGAGGGTCGCCTGTAAAATAGGTTGCTAGGAAGTGGGGGGGGGGTTGCTGTCCCACCCAGGCTCCTGAGTGGCCCAGAGGCATCCCGACCTGCCGGGCAGATGCGGCCTCCGACTCTTTTGGAGGTCCTGGAGGTGACCTGCCTGGGGTGAGGTTGCCAGGGTCTCTTGGGTCAGCCTCCCACCCAGCAGTTTAGGGTAGTCCTCGATTTATGACCACAATTGAGCCCAAAATACGCTAAGCAAGACAGTTTTTGTGAGTTTTGCTTCATTTTACGACCTTAACAATAGCTGGAAAAAAGGTCGTAAAATGGAGCAAAACTCAGTGAATCACTGCAGTTGTTCAGCTAGTAAGACGGTTGCTAAATGAATCTGGCTTCCCCACGGGCCTTGCTTGTCAGGAGATCGCAAAAGGAGATCACGTGATCCGGGGGCACAGCAACCGTCATAAATACATGCCAGTTGCCAAGCTTTCTGATTTTTGATCACGTGACCGTGAGGACATTGAAACAGTCATAAGTGTGAGTCATAAGTCACTTTTTTCAGTGCCCTTGTAATTCTGAACAGTCACTAAATGAATGTTAGTAAATTGAGGACTACCTCTAATGCTGGATGACAGGTTCACCCCCCAGGTGAACTATCCAAAGCTATCCAGCATCCTGACTTCCTTCTAGATATGCTGGCCCCAGTTTCTGGAACCCCTGTACACATCTGGGGAGAACTAGGTGGGAAGGTCACCTGTGAATCTGCACTCCCTCTTGAGATAGAGGAGGATAGATAGATAGATAGATAGATGATAGATAGATAGATAGATAGATAGATAGATAGATAGATATAGGTAGGTAGGTAGGTAGGTAGATAGATGATAGATAGCGATAGGTAGGTAGTAGGTAGATAGATGCTGATAGGTAGATGATACAGAGAGAGAGAGAGAGAGATGATAGATAGATGATAGGTAGGTAGGTAGGTAGGTAGATAGATTGATAGAGATAGTTAGCTAGCTAGATTAGATATAGCTAGATAGATTGACAGACAGACAGATGACAGACAGATGGATGATAGGTAGTTAAGTAGATAGGTAGGTTGGTTGGTAGGCTGTAGTAGTAGCACCCACCCAAAGGCATTGAGTGCCACCTCCAGCAAAGATCAATGGGGCCAGGGTTATTGTTATTGGATTTTAAGACGGGTGGACTTCAACTCCTAGAATTCCCTGTAATGAACTTGAAGATGGGGTGGCTTCATCTCCCTTCAGCCTTTGGTGCCAGCCTTGCCAAGCGGTCGGTTTCAATGCCCAGAGGCAAATCCAGCCTTTCCCGAAAGTTACTGGCAGGACTTTCAGTTTTGAAACGCCTGCAGGTTTCTTTTGATTCCTTTTTCTCAGGTGACTTGAGATGATTCATGGCCTGATGGGTTCCCGTAAGTGTGGAACCAGAGCATCAAAATCTCATCCTCTCTGCTCGAGTTTGCACAACATTGCCCGTAAAAAAGGCGAGGCGAGCGGAACCCGACACGAGGGACGGATAGAAACAAAACAGGCCATCGATGGGTTTCCTACTTCTGGGTCAAAAACAGAGTGTTTGTTTGTGGTTTGTGATGGAATCGATGACTCCGCTTTCTCTATAACTTCTCAGCACGTTTGCGATGTTTTCTCACAACAGTGTGTGTGTTCAAGGAAGCAGAAAATATGACTCAACCTCACGGAGATAGGTTGTGCTGTCTGTCTGTCTGTCTGTCTGTCTCTCTCTCTCACCCCCCCCCCCAATACACACCATTGTGGGCACCAATAACCGGGAGAGTATCACTCCATCTGCAATCAAGAAATAGTGAGTCAGATATTTGTGTAACAGTGAAACCTGCTTTAAATTAACTTTCAAGCAGTAAAACGGCCTGACTAGGAAGGCAGGAATCTGAGAAACTGAATGCCAGGTTTATTTATTTGTTTATTTAAATAAAGCACCAGACTTGAAACCAGGAAGCTGTGAGTTCTAGTTCTGCTTCAGGCAGGGAAGCTCGCTCAGTGATTTGGAGCCAATCACCAGGAGACCAAGTTCCAGTCCTGCCTTAGGGAGGGAAGCTGGCTGGGTGGCTGAGTAATGACGTATAATGATTGTATAATATAATGTACCCTTGCCAACGTAAGCCCAACCTGGCCTTCTACTCTAGGATTCAGGGAATTACTTGGAAAATGTTCTTTTTCCTTCTCCAACATACCATCCTCTTTACCTGCTCCTGGGCCTTTATAAGGCTGATTTCCCTCCCAAGAAGAGGACGAGGGAAGTCAGCCTGACAGTCTCAGCTGCCCCTCTGGGGTGCCCTCTGAGCTGGGCAAAACAACTTCCTGTATTTTCAAAGAGGAAGAAAATAATCCAGTTAGGCCTCGAGTTACGGCCATGATTGAGCCCAACACTTCTGTTGCTAAGTGTGATGTTTGTTAAGCGGTTTTGCCCCATTTTACGTCTTTTCTTGCCACGGTTGTTAAGTGAATCCGGCTTCCCAGATTGACTTTGCTCGTCAGAAGGTCGCAAAAGGAATCACGTGACCCCAGGATGCTGCGACCGTCATAAATACGAGTCAGTTGCCAAGCGTTTGAGTTTCGATCACGTGACCATGGGGCTGCTGCAACGGTCGTAAGTATGAAAAATGGTCATAAGTCCCTTTTTTCAGTGCCGTTGTAATTTCGAACGGTTACTAAGCAAACTGCTGTAAGTCAAGGACCATCTGTATGGCTTTCCCTGTTCTTCTGTAATTCTCCTTCTTGTCCTAAAGTGCTTTTTCCAAAAGCCAACAGGACTTCCTCGTTTTATTTATTTTTCCCCCTGTGAAAACGTTTCGCTTCTCAGCCAGGTTCTGAAGAGGCTCCTTGGGAGAGAAGCGAAAAAGGCGAGGAAGTCCAGTGGCTTTTTGGAAAAGCACCTGGAGAAGGAAGAACCTCCGCAGACGTTTCCTTCCAGCCGGCCTGAAGGGGCCATGGCTGCCCCAATAGGAGCCTCCACTTGCATCACCCCAATTCCTGGCAGAGAGCCTGCAGTGGGTTTTGCAGAGGCCCCACAGCACAAGAATGCTAGGAACCAAGTGGGCAGGAGGAGACACGCCAGGGGGAGGGAGAAGAAGGAGGTGGGGGGTGGGGAGATGGCCTGAGATAGCAGAGAGAGGACAACGGATGAGAATAGCCTGGTAGAGCAGAGGATGCCCACTCTGGCCCACAGGAAATAAATGGAAATTGTGAATACCAGAGTTGGAAGGGACCTTGGAGGTCTTCGAGTCCAACCCCCTGCTCAAGCAGGAGACCTGATGCTGGGGTGTGTGTGTGTGTGTGTGTCCAACTTGGCAACTTTAAGATTCATGGATTTCAATTCCCAGAAATCCACAGGTCTTAAAGTTGAGGAATTATGGGAGTCACAAGTCTTAAAGTTGCCAAGGTTGGACACCTCTTCCCTATGCCATTCCGGACAAATAGCTGTCCAATCTCTTCTTGAAGACCTTCACTAATGGGGCCCTCACAACATCTGGAAAGAAGCCGTTCCACTGATTCATTGTCCTCACTGTTGGGAAATTTCTCCTTAATTCTAGGCTGGATCTCCATAACTTCCTTCTGTTGTTGGGGGCAGAAGCCGTTGGGCAGCCTGGTGACCCCACTGACTTAGCTGAGTGATGGACCAGGCCTGGATATCTTACCCAGGAGCTGGCAGGCATCTCTGCTTCCGCTGTCTCTGAGTCATACCTTCAGCTAGAGAGGTGATTCACCCTGATAACTCTTCCCCATTCTGGAACTCCCTCCTGAATCACGACAGTTGAGATATCCTTCGAGCATTAAGGTTGTTATGGTTTCCTTTGTGTAAAAGGCCTGGAGGTTGATAGCATCATTCAGATTCAGGGATGGCCCAGAAGGGGACTTACGGGAGGGGGGGGGGCTGAGCTGATTGCACGGCATGGAATGCAGAAAATCCCTGAAACTCATTTTCCACATGTGTTTGCGGGAAGAAGGGTGGTTGGTGGTGGATTGAGTGCCTGAAAAGAAACCATTTCTCTGAATCCAGTCAGAGCTGAAGAAGCTTCTTGGATGAGAAGCGAAACGTCTTCAAAGAAAAACAAGAAAGTCCGGTTGCCTCTTGAAAAAAAGAAGCTCCTTTGGGACAACCAGGACCTGGATGACCGGGAATCTCCATAGACATTTCTCTGAAACGGTAGAAGGTCTCCTGACTGGACTTGAAGCCCTCCAAGTCCCTTCCAACTCCATTTTTCTGTTAGCAAACCCATCAACCTCAGCCAACCCAATCCTACAGAGGTTGAGGTGGCATGGTAGCAGCCTTCCAATATTCGAGGGGCTGCCCCAGATAAGAGGGGGTCCACCTACTCACCAAAGCGCCAGGGGACAGGACAAGAAGGAACAGATGGAAACTCATCAAAGCTGGCTGGGGAATTCTGGGAATTGAAGTCCACACATCTTAAAGTAGCTGTGTTGGAAAAAACACTGATGGAAATTAAGAGGGTGGTTAGCACCAACCTACACCAGTCTTCCTTTGCAAGCAGAGAAGATCAAGAAGGCGTGATAAGCAGGACAGGGCTTCTCGTGAAAGAAAAAAGGCAAAATAAGTTGGGGTGTGGCCTTCTAGGGAAGCTGGGTAGGTGGGGGAACAGGAGTGCAGAGATAACTTGGAAGAAGGCATGCACAGACACCAAATAAATGCTAACTTAATCCAGGAAATAGGAACAGGTGAGAAAGAAACTCAAGCTAACACTACCGTGATTCTTTTAAGTATAAGAGCGGGGAAAGGAA